TCCAACCACATCATGACAGTGTTTGGTCACTGCTATCAAGACCTTTTGTTATTGATGCTGGTGTGCTCAGGAAGCTTATGAGTTTCTGCTTCCTTGTCTGCCCCTGCTTTTCCCTCCCGATGACATTCTCAGCTTATGGCTGCCTGCCAGCTCAGACTTTATAGTCCTCGTATTACTTTGCCCTTGGGTATCTGTAACCTCCTAATTCCTGACTACCCACCTGTGCTCTTTGGTTTGTGGCCAGCTCTGAACTGCTCACCTGGCTCCAGTGTCTCACCTCCACCCTATCTATCTGCTAAGTACTGCCCGGGCAGGACTCAGGTTCTTCCCAGTTTCCAAGCACCCATAGTACTCTCCAACTCAAGGCCTGCTGGTCATTTTAATCATGCCCTTCAGCAAGAAAGAACTTTAGAAAAACACTGCTCTGTGTTGGGGTAGCCCCATTGCCTGCTGGTTGGGGGAACTGGATCCTACTTGGCCACTTGCTTGGTTCAGGTCCTGGACCTGGCATCTTGTAAAACTACACAGGGCACATGCGCATGTGTTTGTGTGCCCAAAATCTGAACAGGATAGAGAAATGGAGATGAGGGAATGATAGGAGTGTATCTCTCTCTCTCTCTCTCTCTCTCTTTCTGTCTTTATGGTATTAAAAAATAAAAATAAAAGAACAAATAAAAAGAATGAAGCTACTGTTTTCTCCATTTCTTTATTTTCTTTTTTTATTATTATTTTTTTTTAAAATTGCCAGAAGGCCCATGTGCTCCTCAGAGAGAGACAGAGGGAGACAGGGTAAGGATAAAGCACCAGGCCCCCATGGAGCATGGTCACACCACAATCCCATATTTTCCATTTGTCCTTTTTTTCAGGATATTAGGCATGTACACACACATGCCAGTATGTTTTCCTGAACTGGGTCCTGAACTCAACCACAAGGTCATAGGCTGGCCCCTGTTTTCTCTATTTGTACTGTTTAGCATTTTTTAAACACTAAGTTATTTTCCTAAATTAAGTCAGAAAGAGCTTCTTGATGAACCTACTTAGGGCCCCCTTAGACCCAGTTCTTTCAAACTCATGGGTAAATTTGGTGCAAAAATATAATCAGAGAATCACAAGGCTATAATATTGTTGAATAGTCATTAGTATTTGTCATGCTTTTTATATGCAGACAGGAGTATAGCTAAAGTTTACTAAAAGAGAAAGAGAAAAAATTATATAACTTCAGGAGATAAACTGCTTAGGTAATCCTTCACCTACTATTAGGCAATTCATAGTAGAGCTCATCATATTTAGAAAAGAGTCTTAGCTACATAGAAGATAGGATTTGAATAATTTTTATGAAGGGTGTCTTTTCAGGGGCAATTATCCAATTTGTAAAATTCAGTATGTCCTGGTCAAAAGTGCAGATCATAGTGCTGGCTTGCTATCCTTTCAATGTGGATAACTTTTTAACTAACAATAATGTATTTCCTGATCCAAGGTAAGCTATGAATGATCAAATCTCATGCTTCAGGCTACGAAGTAATTACTGCAGAGAACAGTTCCCTTGCCTATGTTGACAGAGAGCGATGGAGAGCAAGAGAGGCAGCAGGACAGGGAACAGCAAGAAAGAGAGCAGGAATTTGAGAACCACAATACACACTGTGCAAACCACCTTCTCTCCCTAGAACACTCATGGAGCGACTCCACATTCCCAGTCAAGGGCTAAGACTGAAGCAGAGATGGTATAGCTTTAGCTCCAGCATACAAAGTGCTCCAATTCCTGTCAGTCCCTTCGAGGTCTTCTCTTTACTTGCCAAAATAAACCTCCTTCATGTAAGTAAAACCAAGTATTGTTCTGTTAAGTTAATATAAAGAATGGAATACAATGCTTGTGTTTGTTAGTATCTGACAGTTTCAATCCTGTGTTAGTACTTGAGACTTTTCTAAGCAATAGAAGCCTGGTACAAGTGCTATTATTAAATGAATTGAAACAAATTCACAGAGTGCAGGCACTATGCCTAGTGGCATTGACTCATAGCCTGTGCTTAACTTGTATTTACTATATTAATCATGGTTATATTACATATTAATTCTTTGCGAAAATGTGACAATTATAAGCTTAACTAACAGTAGCAACAGTGCCCTAAATAAGTTAAAAAAAAAAAGTTGGCAGAACTGAAAGCATAAATAGATCATTTAACAATAACAGTTGGAGAGTCAATACCTCAGTTTTAATATCAATAGTAGAAAAACTAGGTAAAGAATCAACAATGAAACAGAACATGAACTAGAAACTAAAATGTGAATGAGAACTAAAAACTAACTAGACATAACAGACATGTATAGAACTTGCCACCAAACAAAAGAATAGACATTCTTCTTGAGTATACTTTGAACGTTCTCCAGGGTAGACCATATGCTAGGCCATAAAATAGGCCTTAATAAGTTTGAAGTTACTGAAATGATAGAAAGTGTATTTTCTTAACCACAGTGGAATGAAGCTAGAGATCATTAATGCAAAGAAAGTTCGGATATTTACAATATGTGACAATAAGATGATACACTCCTAAATAATCAAGGGGTTAAAATTAATCATAAAGGCAATTAGAAAGTACCTGAGATGAATGAAAAAATTATGACACAAATGTCCAATTTACAATATCCAATAACTCTACTCTGTTTTATATCCAAGAGAATTGATATGTATATCCATAGCGAAATCTGTTAAAATGCTCACAGAAATATTATTCATAAAAGACACAAAGTGAACACAACACAAATGTTCATTACTGATGAATGAATAAACAAAATTAGGCATATCCATATAATGGAATAGTATTCAGTCATACACACAAATAAAACAGTTATATTAGATGTTAATTCTAGATTGAATGTTGAAATAAGCCATTTGTGAAGGATATAGTGCATGACTTAACTTCAATGAAATGTCCAGAATAGGTAAACCATAGAGACAGAAAAGAGACCTGCGGGTTTCTGGGACTTGGCAAAGAAACGCTGGAGCAAATGAGGAGTGATTGCTATTGAATATGGATTTTTTTTCTCTGGGGCAAATAAAATTTTCTAAAAGCAATTGCAGGGCAAACTCCATGGTACAAGATTAATGCACTTCTCTAAAGAAGCCAGATCCCTCTGGGTGACCATGATTCAAATCTGTGACCTGGTCAGCCTAAAACATTCTGAGGAAGTAGATGACAAATTATGTTGAGTGTTGTGAGAAAAAAGAAAGAGGAGGGAGTTACAATGGGACAATAACGAGAGTAGACCTCTTTAAAAAACAAAGAAACAAAAAACTGGCTATATAGGGAAGAAAACACAACGTCATTAGGGGTTAGTACTAAAGAGAGTAGAGATACTAGGAGGTATAAGAAAAAAGATACAGAAAAATGGGGTTGGGGAAAAGAGTTGGCTGAGTAAGAGAAGAAATGGAATACAAAGATCCAAAGGGGATTACATATTGATATCATCACTCCAGTGATATGGGAAGGAAGAAATAAAGGACAAATATACTATCATTGAATTGCTCATGATCTAGCGGTTGCTGCTGGGCATCTCTAACCAGAAGACAAGGGAGAGAAAGGGTGTGACATGGAGACTCATCATGGGGGATGCTTCCACTCTCATTTTTCTCTGTTTCTCTCCCACCTCCCTCCTTAGTGGGCACATGTGTTTCCTAGAAAATTGAAAAAAAAAAAGAAAAAAAAAAGAAAAATTAGAAAGTTCTTAAAGTGGTGGTTCTGTAGCCTAGAGATTAAGGGAACTGTATCTCAGAGGACCAATCATGCTTTGACTCTCAGCCCCAGCAACTTCAAAACACACTAGCCATGCGTTTGTTCAAGCCCCAAATCTCCAGAGGATGGAAAAATGGAGAAGGTACGGTAGCATGACCATGCCCCATTGGGGGTGCTTCCTCCCCCCTCCTCATGTCTTTCTGCCTCTCTTTGTTGAGCATGTGCACCCTCTGGCAATTAAAGCAAAGAAAGTTTGTAAAAACTGGAGTAAAAGCACAACTTTATTTCAGTGCAAAAAATTTGAAATTCATGTATGAATCTTTCATCATATGCACTTGCCATGAAAATTTTGAAAATAAATACCATTTATAAACAAACTATGTAATTGATTAGATAAAGATATAAATATTTATCCTATATATAAAATTTAGCTTTAAGATGTCATAAAAACTATCAACTGTTTTTACTAGTGGATATCAAAATACTATGTCCAATTTAAATACAAACCCACCCATATTTCTAATTATGTATCTATTTGTCATTTTAATACCCATGAAGGTCAAGAGTTTAAAAATAGTTTTTTAAAAATACTTTGGATAAATTTTTATGTATTAAAAAATTAATGGGTAGAAATACATATTTGGAAAATGTTAGTTACACTGGGGAAGTTATAAAAACAAAAACACTGAGCTCATTAATGTTCAAATGGAGATGTGTTTGACTAGAGAAAGTTAATCACTACTCAACGTGGGAGGAGCCCTGAGACAGTTAAGACTGTGAAACAAATGCAATGTTTAGAAGAACATGATAGATAATTCTACTTAATGAGTACACAGCAGACTAATTATTGTAATGAAATATGTTTAATTAAAAAGAAGTCTGTGTTCTAACGATTGTACTGAGTATAAACCAGTTTGGAAAAAATCCCAAAGATTGCTAAAGACTATACATACAGAAACTTTCTCAAGGAGGGTAAGGATAGGCTGGGCGGGGGGGAAGGGGGAGTCTTCCAAAAGTTCATGAAAATTTATAAGCAATCATTCAGGGATTTCAAAATTGTTCATGCTGAAATAACCTTGTACTTTAGTTCCACTAACTTTGGAAGTATCCTCATGTATTTGATTATTTTTATTGTTTCCCCGAAGTTTGCTCTTTTTTTTTTCTGAGAATGAGAAAGAGAGAGAGAGAGACAACACCTGGAGATTCACCTCCAGGCTTCAGGCGTACCTAGAGAGGTCTCCAAACTTGAACTTGGCACCTTCTCATGTGGGATTTTTCTTGTAGAACCAGTGTTGACCGCTGTGCCACTGTCTGGGCCCCGTTTTAAAGTTAGTATTCTAGTTACTTCAGGCTCTTTTTAATGTCTCCTGCTTTCCTAAGGCAATGCCCAGTTGAATAAGAAAGGAGAAAGTATTTGGAAACAAAAGAAAGTTGTAGGAGAATCATTTTAATATGTTTTAATATGAATTAGGAGAAAATACATTTTAATACAAATTTGGGGAGAAAAGGAAAATTATAACAAGTTTTACTCAGGTAATTAGCACTAAAATTCATTCATGGAATCAAAGTGTCAATGACACCTACACAGGTCCAGTGTGTGGCAGAACTTGAAAATGACCTATAAAACATGCCTGTACATTCCGCTTCAGCCACCATTGATGCCTCAGTAGACAGAGAACACCTGCTGTAGCAAAGGAGAGTAGAAATGCAAGTTTTTCTGCCTCTAATTCCTATGTATGTGTAATTGTGTGTGTGTGTGTGTGTGTGCGCGTGCACATGCGCGTGTGCATGTGTGTTGGGATATAGTAGTGTTATCAGACATATCTTCAAGAGAATTTCAATGTGGGAGAATTCATAATTACTTATTTCATTTTCTGGGCTTATTGTCCCAAACCACCCACTTCTCTTGGCTTTTCCCAGGCAAATGCTGTGTGGGGGCTGACCTGAACAGCTCATGAGAGCCAATATTAAATTGAAAAAAATTTTTAATTTATCTCTCTATGTATGTATGTGTGCATGTGTGTGTGTGTGTATATACACACATATATATGTAAAATATGAGAGAGCACACATGCACGCTAATGACAGTGAAGAGAGAGCATGTATGAGCTTCCTCCAGTGGAGTCTGGTCCCTCTGTAATCTCTTCTATTCCGATTCTTTGTCCCGTCATGATCCAGTGTATATACTCACATGTCTGGTATATTTTTCAAGCCACCAGGATCAAGGCTTGAGTGCTGTTCAACCATGTGGGATCCACTTCCCTGTACAATGCTTAATCACTGCACTACGAGGCTGGCCTCTGCCAGATTTTTAAGTAACGTGTGAGCTGCTTATCACAAGGTAATTAAAATTTAAATTATGAAACCTCAAAGTACATAAATTATATTAAAAATGAAGGCAATAAATACTCAAACTCAACAACGTGTATTTACTTTATTTTTTTAATTATCCATGCTCTTGAGATTACCTGCATGTTTCATCTTTATCGAGTGGATATTGTATATACTACTGCACAGCTTTTCATAATTCCACCTTCAGTGACTTCATATTGGTAGCTTAAAATTGACCATAGTAGAAACATTTACATCACAGAATTCACTATGCATTACAAATTAAAGCTCCTAGGACCAGCGGATGGTGTAATGGTTACATTACTGGGCTCCCACATAGTTAACTGTAGTTCGAGTCCTAAACCTGGAGGCCTAAGACTCACACCGGGTGTGTATGTGTGCATGCGCAAAATCCCAAGAGGAGAATGGAGGAGAAGGGATTGCATCATGGCCATCCCCCCGGGGGGGGGGGTGATTTCTCATTTTCTGTCTCTCTGTCTCTCTCTCTGTCTCTCTGGCAAGCGCAGGCACCCTATAGTATAAAACCTCTCTTAAAAAAAACATACAAAACAAACAGAAAAAAAAATTAAGCTCCCTTCAACCCTAGATAGCTGCAAATGTTTGCAAGCACATCACTGAATAGAGCCTGTTATGGGGAGCTAAGTCATGGCATGTGGGTTCCACTGTAAGTTTGGAGAGTGGAACTTGAGCTTTGGCAGTTGCCGTAGGAGAAGAGTGATTGGATGTGAGTTTGTAAAAGAAATGGAACAAATGTGATCTCAGTGAACTGGCATTCTGAGAAAGCAGGCAGAGAAAAATCAAGAATTTGGTTAGGAGATGCTGAGAGGAGAATTTATTATAGGAAAGTCAACAAAAGCAGGATCATTTAAAAAAAAAAAAGACCGGTAAAGAAACCATAAAAGTTGATTCCACTGAGTGGACCAGCAGGTTTGTCAACTTGATACCTGGTATACACAGGAAAGAAGTATTTAAAGAGAGGGACAATAATTTCTACACTTACCTTATGTCACTTCACACAAAACATTGTTTTTCTAAAATTGCTTTTTTCCCTCTGTTCACAGCTTCAATCTTCAACACCTTATCTACATTAAAAAAGAAAGAAATTGGATTAAAACAATTTACACAGTTATGGTTTATATTCCTGGATACTAGGATGAATGTTACACACATGCATATGTTCATGTGCATGCACACACACACACATACATAAACACACATCTGCACACATACAGGTTGGCTAGAATAGTATGTAACAAGGGAAAACCAAAGAGAATTATTAGTAGCAATCTGTAGGTTTTAAGTCATTCATTCACTGTGGTCTGACCATGTATAGGACTCAGACAACTCTAAATCCTAAATTGTGAGTATTTTTTAAAAAGTTTTTGACTTAGGGTGTGTATGCTTGCTGGAGAGAGAGAGAGACAGAGATGGAGAGAAGGAAAGTGAGAAATCACCCAAGAGAGATGGTCACACTGCAATCCCTTCTCCTCCATTCTCCTCCTGGGATCTTGGGAACACAAGCACACGTACCCAGTGTGATTTTGGAATCAATGGTCTGCGACTTGAATCGCAGTCAGCTACTTGGGAGTCCAGCGACAGAACTTATGCCATCTGCTGGCCCCAGCTGTGAGTGTTTAAGCTGAATGACTAGGATCAGTCCCCTATACCCTGATGTCATCCCTGCTGTGATGTGGGATGAAGTACGTGGGTAAAAGCATGCCTTCTACTGTATTTTGCTAGTTTGGTATTCATGGATGGTGGGAAACAGCCTCTGTCCTGGGTGCTTGGGCCTAAGCTTTCTAGTTTCAGTATAGGATGCATCAAACTACAGCAGAAGTAGTAACATCAGTGTTTACAGTTGTGGATACATCATTCCCTCCCCTGGTATGATCATAGGTTGGAGTCTAAACTGTACATTTGAAGAAGACTGATCACTCTAAAAATTGGGACATAGCCAATGAATTAAACCAGGCCAGCTCCTTTTCTGAGAAGCAAGTCTGCAGAGGCTCACTCTTGGACAAGTATATCCTTATTTCTAATTGATAAGTGGCCTAGATTCTTCAAGAGATTCTTGGAATATAATATATGAGTTAATTAACACAGATTGATTAGTCTATTAGATATAAAGTTTAATAAATTTTATTTTTAAAAGCAAATTGTTCTCCTGCTGCTTTTCCCCTGTCTTAGAGAACACCTCATTCCCCTATCAGTTTCACCTTACAGACATCAGTTTCAACAACTTATAACCCATTGTATGAACACTTCCATGGGGATGACAAACATTTTTCCTCTAAGTGCCAGTTGCTGTAAAGAAACAGTACTAAGATTGGTTACTGATGTCCGTTACAAATATGAGGGTAATATGTGTCACACATCCCATATATTTGTCATTTTGCCTAACTTGCTGTTAAATTATTCTTCCATGACAATGGTTTTAGGTATCTATGTCCGTAAAAATCAAAATGAAAGACCAGTAGATTGCATAATTGTTACATCACTAGACTTCCACATAGTCGACCGTAGTGAGTCCTGTACCCCACTGCTTGAAACTCACACCAGACAATGTGTGTGTGTGTAAGCCCAAGATCCTGAGAGGAGACAAGGAGAAGGGATTGCAGCTTGGCCATCCCCCCCTTGGGGGTGATTTCTTGCCTCCTATCTCTCTGTCTCTTTCTGTCTCTCTGGTAAGCACACGTGCCTTATAGCAAAAATCTCTCTCCCCCACAAAAAAAAAAGAGCTAAACAATGGAATATTACCCAGTGTGAGAAATAAATGAGATGTTAAGACATAAAAAGACACTAAGAAAACAAATGCATGTTACTAAGTGAAAAAAGCAAGTTGGGGACATCTATATATTGTATGACTCCGACTATATGACATTCTGGAAAAGGCGAAACTATGGAGATGATAAAAAGCCCAGTGGATACCAGGGACTAGGAAGAAGAGGAGAGAACACAGGATTTTCGGGGTAGTGAAAACTACTCTGTATGGAAGTATGTCATGGATACAGGCCACACACCTTTGTCCAATCCCATCGGGTGTGCAATATCTAGTGAACCCTAGAGTGAACTATGGACTTTGGCTGATAGCATGTCAATATGGGTTCATTATAATAAATGTGTCACTCTGGTGGGGGGTGTTGGTAGTGGGGGAGGCTGTGTGTATTGGGGGGGGTATATGAAAAATCTCTGTACCTTCTGCTCAGTTTCATTGTAAACTTAAAATTGATCAAAAAAAGGCTTAAGAAAATAAAAATCCCCAAAGCTACTGATCCCTGCTATGATCTTTCCAAAGGCTATATCTTCACATATGACATAAATAGATTAAAATTAGAGTGCTGGCCACATTGATCCTTGGTAAATTTTCTAGTAAGTTCACTTTTGGTGTTTTTTAAATGTTATATATTCTTCATTTGATAGTTTACACAAACCACATTAAAATGTCTCTCAATAAGTAAAAGGCAATTTTTCAGGTACAGGAAGTTCTAATTAGATTAGCAGAGTTATGACCAAAAATATAAAGTTAGACGTCACTTCCTTATCTTCAACTCTTTGCCTTTAATGGGTTAATGAACACAAATTAATACACAGGTGAATCTGCTTCGTTTTGAGACACGAAGGGATTTCTTCAGCATTTATATATTCATAACCAATATATGCTTAAATAAAACTGAACTCAATAGTACAAATTCCCTGAGTAAAGTTGTGTTTCTACATATTTTTAATTAATTTATTTTTATGTGACAAAGAGCCCAGTGTAAAACTGACCATCTGAAATGTACTTTCTCTTGTAAAAGTGATAGCAGCACCTGCTCTTCTTGCCTTGTAAAGACCCGCACATTTTTCTTTATGTCACAGATTCAGTCTTTTTTTTTTTTTTCTTTTTTTAGAAAGTGAGAAGTCGTCCCCCAGAAGGAAGATGGCCACACAGCAGCACTCCTTCTCCTCCATTCTTCTCTTGGGTATCTTAGGCACGCATACTCGCATGTCCAGCATGAGTTTAAGCCACTGGGTCAGGACTCAAACCACGGTGGCCTACATAGGAGTCCAGTGACATAACCATTACACCATTTGTTGAACCCATCAAAGTCTGTTTCTATTGGATACGTCTAAGTCATCACCAAAAGAAAGAGTCAACATGGTATTTATTTCAGGAGTCATGTCAATGATGCATGCATGATTACTAATGACGTTCGGCATTTATGAAGTGCTTCCTACGTGTTAGGTGCTGTGATACGTTCCCTACATCAGTAGAATAACACTGCCTCCTTACAGAAATATGCTTAAAATGATGAGAGCAAATGATGTTCTGTGAAATGTGAAACTGGACTATTTCCCTCCCAGTTTAGTAAATGTTTTACCCTCCACCATGCATAGCAAAGTAAGTGAGAACCCATAAAATATTTATTACGTTATATTTGTGAGCAATCTACAGTTACGATCACATCTATTTCGTTTCACTTCACAGTAACCTTGAATGTGGGTAAAGACAGAATGATAAACCCCATTTTGTGGATGAGGAATGACTCTTAGGGAGGTTAAATATTTTGTTCAAGTTAAGCAACTCTTTCACATCAAAGCTTGTAAATTTACCTTCCCACGTCATTGTTTTCCTGTTGATTGTTTACACAGTTAAGTGCCATTTTGTTCTTCCCATGGACCCTGAATTATACTCTTTTCATTTTCAATCAACATATAGTAATTGTACTTATTAGTGGGGGCAATGTGATTTTTCATTACATGAATATAATGTGTAGTAATTAAATCAGGATAATTAGTGCACCCCTCATTGATCTCTGCCATTTACCATGATTTTGTGCTGGAAACATTCAAAATCCTCTATTTTAGTTACTCTGAGATATATAGAGTAAGTTATTACCTATATGCTAATTAATGTGTTTTGTAACACCAGAAATTGTTCTCATCTATTTCTAATTTTGGTTCCATTAATCATTAAATTATCTTTTTAAAGATCATTTTACCCCCTGCTCAAAACTTACACTGTGCATATAGACTCCTTCTAGTAAAATTTAAAATCTGGAGAACTAAATTTTCACTCAACTCCCTAGCCTGATCTCAAAGCACACAGATTTCACTCAATTTCTCACCACCAAGTTCCTTCTTGAATAAGGACTTCCACACACAGTCTTTCTTTGTTTGTGATTCCCTATCATTCCTCCACTCTTCAGTCAAACTAGCTTTATTCAGCCTTTGAGTCTGCGGTGAAGTCACTTAACTCACCAAAGGTTTCTCCAACTTCCTAGATGGAGGTTCTCTGTTACACACTCATACACTGTCCATATAAAGAGAACATTTCTCAAGGTCTTAATGGTTGTTCAGCATTTACACCAAGTCTTTATTTGGTCAATTTTCCAAAGTGCAACATATGGGGAAAGATAGAGGCCACGTTTCATCACAGAGGTCTAGAAGTAGATACTCATGTCCCCAGCTTTCTTTCAACTAGGTTGCAGGTTTAACAAATTAGATGCACATGCTTCCATCTTTGAGAATTTCAAGACTCGAAGAAGATTAGATAGAAGTGCATTTATGATGACAGAGCCTATGCCTACATTCGGTTTTAAGGGATCACAGAAATAGCAATGGTATTGGTGTTGGTGAAAGAAATCTTGATCCAGTTCTGTCCACAAAGGAGTGTAAGTCATAGATTTTTAAATTTACGTATAAGAAGTGTACACATATGTGGGATAAAATGCGATTTCTCAGTACAAGAATACAATGTGTATTGATCAAATTGGGTAGTTAGTATACCTACCATCTTAGCTATATGTCATTATTTTATGTTAGGAACATTCAAAATCTTCTTTATTAACTATTTCTGAAATATGCAAAAAATTGGTATTAACTATATTTATCCTATCGTATTTTATAATAGTAGAAATTATTTTCAAAATCTATCTGTGATTCTGTTTCTGTTAATCAACCTCCTTTTATCTCCTTCCCTCCATCCTTCCTAGCATATAGTAGTCATTTTTAAACTATTTGCAAATTCTAGACTTGAGTGACTAGTGACATTGAAAGTTATACCCTCACTAGTCTAGTTCTTTAGCTTAAGTTTGGGCAT